GCTATGAGCAAAAACGGGACGGAAAACATGAAATTTTGGTATAATCTTGCACCTAAGTGTCTGATATTCAAATTTCGCTTTCTGGGTCAAAACTATTCGAATTTCCTCACTCACGTTGTTACGACTGAATCAAGTTTTCAATTCTCTATTCAACGATGCCAAAACGAATTCTGTGGCTCGAATGGTTCTTGAGAAACTTCGAAAAAAGCAGCGTCATTTTCAAGTGGATTTTGCAACTCAGAAAAAAACCACGCAAATCTAAAACTTCTTGAATTCAAGCATTTTTTGAGAAAACCCAGACCACAACTGTATTGCGGAGTTGAGCCCGTTGGTAGCGAAATAAGTTGTAATTTAGACTAGAGGCACTGCAAATTTTTGGTCATTTTTTATTTCTCGTACGTTTGTAGTTGCTTTGAGTTTATTTGCGAATATAGAAAACTCCAAGCCGCGTTTAATCAGCGAATTTTTCAAATAATCACAAACCAGTTTTGCCAGATTAGATTTTTACAACTCGTTTCATTTGTCTGTTAACAAACGTTATTCAGCTGGGAAAGTTTTGCGGAATTCTGGCTTAACTGGGCTCTAACCGCAGACCGTTTCAACCGTTTGTTCGAAAACTAGAAACCGTCACTTTCAACGGGAATTGGACGACATTTCCAGTTGCAACTTTCCACCACAAACCAGTTTAATGAATTTCAGCTGGCGAAAAAACATTCCGTCTGCTGCCATGCGATGTTTCACATTTTTTTCGTATGGCTGAAATTGTTTTCCTCCGGAACGTTGACAATCGCATCCCAAAAAGGAGTTCAGCAATCAACTAATGAGCTTTCCAAGAGATGGTGGTTGGGCGCTTATGGGAGCGCTTGGCGAAAAATTAATCGTTTGCCCCCGATTTCGCCATGATTAAGCGATACACGCTTGGTTGGCAGGCAAATTGCCTTAAACATTTTCAACAATGGGCAACTGCTTTTAACAAACACAACATCCATTCAGTTTGCACACCGTGTATATTGAGATACTTCCGTTAATCATGTGGATGAGATAGTTTAATTACACAKAGTTTTTTTTGCTAAATGGGCCCGAGTAATTAGCGCCGAAAAACTGCACATTTGCAACGAAGCGTAATCATAATTATTCGAAGAGCCTGTAATTAGATTAACTAAAATTAATTTGTTTCGTTTGAAWTYGRAGGCAACGCACTGATAAGCCGAACAAGCTCTTCAGTTARTGTCGCGCAATATTCAATAACAACGCGTGTTCTAATAATAATGTTCTGTTAATTGGATTTAGGATCAAAGGCGGATCCAGAGGGGGGTCATGGGGGTCATGACCCCCCCATTCAATTCTCCATCCAACGATGCCAAAACGA